GAGGAACTTTGTGACGTTCGACGTGCGCACTCGGCCGTCTTCGCGCGCGTCGACGCGGGCGATGGATCCCGGTCGGAGTTTGTTCATCAACCTGTATCATAGTCAGTACAATATATTATAGAGTATAATGAAATGAAAGTACGCACTGGCAAAGGACGTAACCGTCCCTGAGCGCATCCGCAAACGTCCTCCTCTCCCTCTCCTCGCCCGCACTGCTACTCGGCGGCGCAGCGCCCATATTCGAGCTGCTCCCCATGCCCACCCCGCCACTCTTTCCCCACACCCTCTCGAGCCTCGCCAGCGGCCTCATCCTAACCTCGACCTCCTCCTGCTCCCTCACACTGAGCGCCAGCTGATGCGGCTTGAGCATCTCCCTGCACAGCGCGCTCGACGCCGCCCGTATCGCCTCGCGCTGCGGCGACGGCGGCGCGCTGGACAGGCTGGCGGTGCTCGCGCTGAAGTGCCTGTTCACGCCGAGGGCGGTGTTGGCGCGGCGGGGGAGCGGCGTGGTGGGCGAGCCGGCGCGCGACGGGCCGGGGCTGTCGATCGAGCGCCGTGGGGGCGGGACATCGATCGAGCGGCGCCCGGGTGCTGCCGGCGGCGACGAAGACAGCGGGAGGTGCGTCGCGCTCGTGGACCGCAGGCCTTGGACGGGCGTCACGCGTCGGGGGGACGACGGCGAGCGGGCGCGCAGCTCGGACGGCCGCCGGTTCAGCGGTCGCGTCGGTGTTTCTGGCGGGGGAGGCGAGGAGGGCGGGGTGTTGAGGTTCACGTTCACCGGTGCCGGTCGCCGTTTGGGCGTGGGCGGGACGGGCGTGGGCGTCGCGGGCGCCGTGAGGGTCGGTGTGCTCGCAGACGCCATCCTGAGCGACGGCGGCTCGAACGACTCGCGCTTGCTGCTCCTCCGCATCGCCTTCCGCAGCTTGCTCCCCTCCTCCGCCCTTTCCTTTTCCTTGCCCTTGACCGTCGCGTTCCCCAGCTCGTCGGCCGTGAGCGTCACGGGGGGCGACTTTGCGCGCGAGCGGGTCGCGGCGCGGACGCTCTGCTCGAGCGACGTCCGCAGCCGCTTGAACGTCTTGTTCTGTGCGTCCGACGTCGTGGCGGAGGAGGTGGACGTCGAGGCGGAGGGCGCGGCGGGCGATTTGATGCGGGAGGACAGCATGTGGAACGGGTTCACGTTCACGTTCGAGATCGACACCGTCACCTTCGCTGCCGCCATCCGTCGTCGCAGCGGTCTGGCCTCGAGTGTCCCGCGTGTTGTGCAAAGCCAAAGTGCGCGGGTATCTACGCGCCCTTGGAGATGATATCGAGCTGCTTCGATATTTCTCAGCCCTCGGCGTCCGCGTCAACCCGCCGTTCGAACTGACTTTTATGTTATGACGTCGATCGCTGCTCGCTCGAGACAGCGGCTGCGCTCGGATACGTCGAGCTGTCAGTGTCGGGTATGTTAGAGTGAGAGGGAGGGGCGGGAGGAGGTCGTCGCTAGCACAGGCCAGGAGCCCGCTATAAGCTCAGCGCGCGTTCCCGATCCACGACGCACGGGTCACCCGCCCATGCTCCCCAACTTATTATTTCATTTATACTTCCTACGCCACAGCCTTTCGCCGCCCACACGCCCCTTGCACGCCCTTGTTGAGTATGAAAGGTACATGGTCTGCCCTCGATCGTATATGTGTGCGCGGACCACGCCGTCGCATCCAGACCACAGTCACTGCTCAAGCGCTCAGTATTTGCTTGCTTCTCAAAGGGGATGCTCTCGGGGCTCGGGCCCAACAGCTCTCGGTGCACTCTTCGCATTGCGTCATATGGTCGCTGGAACAGGTACATACCTTCACAACCTCTGAGTCTGAACTATGCGCGGTTGCTTCCGTGCGTGAACCACACAATGGCCCGCCCGTCGCCTTTGACAGCGCGCGCGGGCCCCGAGCCTGTACCACCTGCCCCACCATCGGCCAATTCACGCGCGTAAGGTCTCCTATCCCACCTCGCGGTCGCACCCGCCCTTCTTCGACTTCATTATCGCCCATACACTACCGACCGCGTCTCTATTGCTCCGTCTTCTGCATCTGTACACCCCCTCGCGCACGCTTCGTTACCCCGCACGTTCGCTTCCACACATTCCAGCTTGACCCAGCTTCCCGCGCTCCCGCGCCGCCACTCGGCCCCTCCTCTCCACCACCTTCCCATCCTTCCGCGCCCGACTTCGCGTCTTTCCCGACCTTTCCGCCATCATCACCACCCCAATACTCCTATCAGCCCGAACACCCGAAGCACCCTTCCCAGATTTCGAGATGCGGCGCCTCGCAGGCCGTATCTGCCGATGCGCTTGAACGCTATCACAACGCGGCCCGCGCGCCCGAGTAGCAGATCAGCCTTCTTTTGATTATTTGATTTATGTGCATATGTTCTTGTTGACTTGTTCCTCGAGACGGGTTTGATGCATGACGCACCGATGACGATCGGGTTGCTGAGCGCGAACAAGAGAGATGCCGCCGGGATGCTCGTCGGCTCGGGCACGATAGTACTTACAGGTCGCGGCTGCCGCTGTCGCGCAACCTTCGAAGTCTGAGATCTGTCTGACCATCGATGGTATGGAGGTGGCCCGTGAGCGAGAGCGTGCATCCCGATTCAGACGCCAGAGATCCGGAGCGTAGGCCGTGCCGAGGACATGTGGGGCAGATAAGGATAAGGACGGCTTTCTTTGCCGGATTGTGCGGGAGAAGATCACTCGCGCGCGACTCCGAGCGCTCAGAGTCGGGCCTGAGGATTGCCGTGTGCAGAGCAAGACTGGGATCTGCTGGCGTCTACAACGGCCCTTCGCGAACGAGTGGCACTGTTCTGGGTCTGGTAGAGGGGTGGGCACGAGCCGTCGATGTCGTTCATAACAGAAAGCTCGGGAGGCGAGAGCTTCCTGTGGCGGATCTGCCGCCGTCTACAACGGTGTGCGGGCACCCTCAGGCTGTTCGTTGTGTCAAGTAACCCGTAATAGAACATAGGAGAAGGTCCATTCGAAGTCTACACGCTCAACGGAGAGCTACATAGGCTCGACGAGAGATGCCCAGGTCGGATCTGCGGACGTCTACAACGTCTTGCGTATATCTCTTGACGTGAACGAGGACTCCTTCATTGAATCGCACCCACGGCGGAGGTCGAACCCGCAACAGAAAGAGCGGGAGAACCCCGCGCTCCTACATACACGCAGCTCGCACCACTCAACTCACTCTATATCCCATCGGCTATGCCAAGCGCCGCAGATCCGGACATACCGCCCTCGGCGCTCACAACCGGGGATACGCCCATAATGATACAGAGCTGATGTGGCACTTTCGGTAGTCCTCGCACCATACGCCGAGCGCGGGTGCATCCAGCGGCAATCGTTCATTGCGGGCCGAGCGGGTGCGGTATCGCCGTGGCTAGTGGGGACGGGGATAGGTCCGTATGCGGGGTTCGCGCTGGAGGAAGCGGGAGAGCGTGGGAGGGTTGCGCCACTGGGTGATCGCGCTCTCGCGGCTCGGGACGATGCCGCGACCGTCTTAGACTCGGGCTTGGGTCGACTCTACACAGTTCTTTCTCCCCTCGTACCACAGCCTGATCAAATGCATTCAAGACATGACAGATATTGTAGGAGGCGCGCATACAGCTCAGGCCTCAAACATCACCCTCCGGCTTCGTCCCCACCGCCAAAAACACCTCAATCACCCTCTCCTCGTCCGGAACCATAACCTTCACATGCTGCGGCGCCGGCGCCACCCCGCCCCAGATCTTAGCATACTTCACATCCTTCAACCCGGCGCCTTCGAACATCTCCTTGATACTCTCTTCCGTGAACCCAGCCATGTTGGGGATGGCGGCGAGCATGGACTCGGACATTGACGAAGTGTTGAAGTTGGTGCGGCGCATGAGGGAGGCGATGAGGAGTTTGCCGGAGGGGGCGAGGTGCGAGGCGAGGATTTGTGTGTAGAGCGAGGGGGTGTCGAGGTGGTGGTATACCATAGATGACTGCGTAGAAGTGTCAGCGCGTTGCCTTTCAGTAGCACTGAAATCGGAGTCTGCTGACCGTGACCACGTCGAACTTCTTATCCTCGAGCTCACCCGGCGCACCTTGAAGATCAAGAACAACGGCCTTCATCTTATCCGCGTCATCCGATTCAGCAGCGAGGCGGTTGTAAACTTCGACCGACGCTTCGCTGATATCGACGCCGACGATACTCTTCACGTACGGCGCTAGTTCGCGCGAGAGCAGACCTGTACATACACTCATCATGAGCTCATGCATACACATATGTCAGAAGCGCGAGACTGACCGATACCGCACCCAAAGTCAAGCACACTCGTGCTCTCCTTCTCGAGCTCAACGGCACCACGCATAGCTTTCGCGATGATCCCTACGATCTCGCGCGCGCCGTGGATGGTGTCGTACTTGTCCGCTATATTGTCGAAGTAGGCTTTGTTCTGCTCGATGTTTGCCGCGTGGGAGATGGAGGGATGAGTTTGGGTGGACATTGTGCGGGCGAAGGCTGGAAGGCGTCTGAGGAGAAGAGGAGTAATGGCGAGCGATGTCGATGAGGAGTTGAGGTATGGAGGAAGTCAAACGCGCTGCAATGGGTTATAATGCTCGTATACGACCGTTAGGGTGCTTCGAGTCTTCAATACAACCATCCAGCGAAGCGGCAAGTCAACCGTACCGCCGCCAACAGAGACTCGAGGCCACATTAGTCACACCAGTCACGAACGGGAACTAAGCCGCGTTGACAACGATTACACACACAACATCGTACAATCCAACTTTGAGAGATCAAACAAGTACATCATGATAGTTTCGTGGAGGTGTTTTACTTCGAGTGCACGAGCTCGTCGACGACCTTGGCGGCGGCGAGAACTTGCTCTTCTTGGAAACGGCGGCCCATGATCTGGACGGCGATGGGCGCGCCGTCGAAGTCCTCGGGGTTATCTGCGCGCAATCCCATGTCAGTTGGCGGTTCGTACGCGGAGATGAGAGACATACAGAAAGAGTGGTTGAGCGCGTCGCGCTCGTCGATAGGAACGAAGGCGGGGTCAGGAAGATCTATCTTCTTGTCGACGTGCGAGACGGGGAGAATGACCGCCGCGTGGTCGAGGACATTCGCGATAGTCACATATCCTAGCATCCGTTCAGCATCGCACACTCTCGAGGCGTTGAAGTCAATGAGCATACCAAGGTACCTCCCAGCTTCACCGGGCCGGAACGAGTTCGCGTGGAAAGCAGGGAGCAGCACAAAGTCCACCGGACGCCCAGACTGAGTGAACTTGTACGACTCGTTCCAGTACTTCGCGTACGCCTGCTGGTACTGGTAGCGGCGCTCGTTCGCGGCGAAGAACTCGGATGCAGAGATTTCAGGGACGGGCGCCTCGCCGAACCAGTCCTGTCAGAGTCGCGGATCAGCGTGGGATGGCGGCATGGCAACATCAGGCCATACCTTGACGAGATGGTCGGCCGGCTCGCCAGATGCGGCGAGAGCTTTGAAGATGGCGTGGCCACCCTCGGCGCCGTAGAATGTGTTCTGTGGGTTATGATCAGGGAGAGGCGGCCGTGAGTTGGACGGCATATCGTACGATGATGGTGTCAGCTTCACGATGGGGCGGGGGAGTCCACTCCACGACCTGTCATGGAGTGTCAGCAGCGGTCGCATATACAGAGATGTATAATGAGTACCTCATGACCAGCGGCCTCGAGGCGAGCCTTGACATCTTTCAGTGCCCTCTGGACAGGAGGCGAAGGAGTAACGACGTCGTCGGTCATCAAGATACCAAAGACGAGACCACCAGCGCCAGCCTTCTTCGTCACCGCATCATAGTGGTCGACGCGCCAAGGGATCTCGACGACCCTCGGATCGGCCACCCAAGGCTGGCGGGAGAGGACGGACTCTATGAGTAGACTCAGGTTCGAAAGGTTCGCGCTCATCGGGCCAATGGTGAAGGGCGCCGAGGTGTTGCCTACAATCTGAGAGTACTAAGTATGGTTTTGAGTGCAGAGTGGAGAGTGGTAGCATACGAGGTCGTGAACACCGAGGTACGGAAGGCGGCCGTAAGTCGTGCGAAGACCGTAGACACCGTTCACGGCGGCGGGCACACGGCTCGAACCACCTATATTCGCGACTTAGCAAGGGGAACCAGTACCGAGCTTAGTCCAGCGCGTACCGATATCCGTCGAGAGACCCAAGATGGTACCATGGATAGCGCTCAGGGCACCCTCGCCTGCAGCATTTGAGAGTTCATCTTGCGAGGACAGTGGGGAACACTTACCACCGGAAGAGCCCGCCGACGACATGAGGCGGTTGACAGGGTTGTACGACTGGCCGGTGATGTTGTTGTGGCAGTCGATGTGCTAGGAACAGTCAACGACCAGCACCGTTAGTAGCGTCAGACACTCACAGAGCTCGCGGTGGGGCAAGTTGTCTTGACGTAGATGACTGCACCAAGCGCGCGCAGCTCCTTGACGATGAAGGCTTCGGTATCGACCGTGTCCAAAACATCGAGGAAGGAGACGACACCAATGGCCGAGTTGGTACCGCGCACGCGGAAGACGTCCTTGAGGGAAACCGGGAGACCGTGAAGCGGCCCGACAGTCTTCTTATTGACGCGCAGGTACTCGTCGAGCTCCTTGGCGCGCTTCAGAGCGTCGTCGAACATGATCTCCGCGAGACAGTTAACCTTCGACGCCGAATCAGTAGGGTGAACTGTGACGAGGATGTGTAAATAGTACTCACAACCTGCTGGGCGATTGCAGCGCGGTGGCAAAATGCCTCGGTGACCTCATGGGCGGTGTACTGGCCACTAGCAATCTTGGCGAGGAGGACGCGAGCATCAGTCGTCTCCGTGATAGCGATCGATCGTTCGCTCATGAACTGGCGAGGAAAGTCGACAGCATTACGAAGCTCAGTCGAGTCAGGGACAGACGCGAGACGCCATGCGGCAGGGATCTTCGCTGCGAGGGCGACGCGCTTCTCAGCGACGATGGTAGACCAGGACTTGAGAGACATTTGAGATGGTTCGAAGAGGTGTAGAGTGAGCAGATGAACTGAGCACGGTTAAGACGGGATGCAGAAGGCCAGTTTTTATAGCCCTTTCACCGGGCCTGGCGGAGAGATACCGCTAGAGACCGTACATGAAAGCACTGAGTCAGAAAACGCCGCCCTATTGGCGTAGACTTTACCAAAAAGTCATATTTCAATTAGACCTACAGTTCTACTGGAAAGGCTGGTACCAAAACCGCTCGATGCTGCCAGCTATTGAAGCCGCAGGGGAACATCGGTGAGAAGTTACTGCTGCCATATTCATCAGCTGAAGATGCTGCTCTCTAAGCAAATGGGTCTCGGTAGCGGAACGCAAGAGTCGAACGCAGAGTCATGGAGGTCTTGTTGAAAGCCCGGACCCACAACCGTGCGAGTGACGCGCCAGGAAAAGTCTATCGGCAACGCCCGGACCGGAGTGATCTTCCCGGGTCAGGCGCGCGCAGTCGGGTGACGACGCGGGCGCTCCTTTCTCGAGAACGACGACGACCCCCTTGCAGCGCTCCCTCGCATTACTAACTATCCAGTGCCCCCAATAACCCTGCTTGTGCCCTCCACGTGAAGGAGTTATATTGGACCTATTGCGTCGGATTGGAGTCGATTCGATGGCTCCTCGATCCAAGATAGTCAACGGTGAAAAGGAGAGTGTACACACGCGCGCAAAACCGTTGTCCTCTACGAAGAGTTCAAGTTCAAACAGTTCGTCTGGCCGCGCTCCGCGTGGATCAAGGTCGAAGAAGGACACGGAATATTTTTGTGTATGCAAAGGCGAGGACGATGGTCGGCCGATGGTACAGTGTGGCACATGCCGCGACTGGTAAGCTTCCTCTGCCATTGCTGTAAAAGCAGATAGCTTATCGCGCCTATTCTCATGCAGGTATCACTTCGATTGTGTCTCACTTGACGAGCACGATGCGGCCGACATATGTAAGAGAGATCATTTACTCTAGCGTGTCCCGTTGAACTGACTGTCGCCCGAATTATCAGCTGTCTATGTTTGCCCACCGTGTACCAAGAGTACGGGGCGCCACACCGTGAGTGAGTATAATGTCCATCACTTCGTCTCGCTTGTCTCCAGCTTTCATAATCTCGGACTCGATATTGCCTGCGTGTGGATACTTTATGTAGAAATCTTTCGTCGTACTACAGTATCAACGCCTGATCTCTCCCCGTCAAGATACGTTCGGAGAATGGTTGAACGTGTTGTGCACGGAGAACATATATTGTCGAAGTGCTCGACCCATATGGTCGACGTGGAGGTTGTGGGCGTGAATGAGTCCGGCCTCGTGCTGAAGCTCGACATGTTGTCCATTGCCGTCATGCCCATGTATCGGAATTCGCAGTTTTGCATTATTACTTCCGCCTGCTAGCCGCACGACGAGAGCGCCATGCTGATCGACGTCTTTCTTGTCTCCAGTGAACTACGAAGGCGGTGACACCGTCGAACCCATTTCCCCACCAGCGCCAGTGGTACAGAAGCGCCAGCGCACGAAGACGCCGACACCCATGCCGATGATATTGGACGAGCCATCAAGTTCGGAAGGCGACGCGACGGAGGATGAGGAATATACTGCCGAAGATACAAAGGGTCGGCGAAAGTCAAAGGTGCGTTTCCTCCGCGAGGGCATGATTTTCGAAGTTGACGATGAACCATGAGCAGCGCATCGCCCGTCGCGTCGAGTCGAGCGATTCCGACTCTGATGCGACAACGGGCCCAACGGGCTCTAAACGCCGCGCCAGCGTCGACGTTCCGCCCAAGAAGCGCGCGAGGACTTCGTCCGTGCAGCAGAATAGGCGCGCGTCGTCGGCCGCGAGCACGACGGCGGCGGAAGATAAGCTGCGCAAGTTTGCAGTTGACGACTTCACGAAGATGATCACGAAGATTTGCGAGAAATATCCTCATCTGCGCGAGGACGAGGGCGAAGAGATGGTCGAGAAGCGTTGGCCAGAGCTTAGCGAGGAGCAGCGCGAGGAGGTGCATCAGGCAGCTGCCGCATATGCAACCGAGGCAGAGTCTGCGCTTTACGAGCAATGTGGTGGTGCCGCAAATCAAAATAAGAATCAGTATACGTACGTCTTTCTGTATCGTTCATGTGGATAAATCTGACCAAGATACACAGGGCTCACCTGCGCATGCTCAAGTTCAACCTGCCGAAGGAGGATCGTGTGGCGTTGCACAAACGCATTGCGTCTGGCGAGCTTACCCCCGTGAAGTTAATGAGCATGTCCTCCGACGAGCTCGCGTCGGAGGAAGAGCAAAAGAAGAAACATGAAGCGGAAGCGGAGGCATTAGCCCAGAGCATTCTGCCAAAAGTGCAGGCGCCGCGCGCGAAGATGACGCACAAGGGTATCCAGGACATCGAGGATATATCTGGTGAACGGGCGCGCGAGGATGCAGATGAGGCGAAGTCTCGCGAACGTATTGAACGGGAGCGCCTTGCTCGTTTGCGTACGAACAGCGACTCCATGCCGCCTCAGTCTCCCGTTACGCCTTCTTTGGCCACTCCTAGCACGGCTGAATGGGGAGCGCCCCCTCCTGTACCGATGCACGCGCTCGAGAGTCCGATGAGTGCAAGCCCCAGTCGTCCCCTCTTCTTCCCATCCAGTTCGGATCTCATCGTACCGACTGAACATGACATCAACCTCGGCGACTTCATTCATATGGACGACGAACCTCCCATGTCAGTGCCGGACGTGCCTTCTGGATTGCCCACCCCCGCGCTTGAGATGGACAAGCCGCCGCTCGGCGGTGATGGTACCATTCATTCGGCGGAAGAGGCGACGGAGGGTTCTACCCTAACAACTCCATTCGGTCTGGCTACGAGCTCGCCATTTGCGCCGAGTAAGCCGGACATGCCTCCGCGCGCGTCATTCGATTTGAGTGCGGTGTGGACGGACAACTCGGATGGTGCAACGGCCACTGCGAGTCCGAAGGACATCGAACCGGTGCAGGAGATGGGAGGTATGGACGTCGACGTGGAGGGTGAAGGGGGCGATGAGCTTGACTTTGAGATGTTCTTGAATAATGATGAGGAAGAGACGCCCGTGCAGGCGGTGGAAGAGAGAGTGCCAGAACCTGAGCTGAGCATTGAAGATAAATACGCGATGAGTCCGCGTGTATGGAACGGCATTGTTAGTCTCGGTCAATCTTCATAGCCAGGCCCTCTTTACTGACATTGACAACTCACAGATCAGCATGCCCATCGACACACCAGTGCCTCAGGAGACGCGTGTATTCGCGAGGGCAATCGGCGGGCGCGAGATCCCACACGACTCACCATTGTGGCGCACGCTGTTCCCTGGAGAGCACCTGCGCATTGATGGGCGTGTTGCGACTGCACAGGCGACCAAGTACCTGCGCGACTCGCTCGTCTCACCGGCCAAAGAGCTCGTTGCAGTTACGCTCACGGCCGAGGACGAGAAGGCGGTGGCTGTGATGCAGGCCATCTCAAGCTTCTTGATGCAGAAAGAGTACGTTTCATCGCCTGATGCATATCTCTTCCTTTATACTGACTAGGCTTCTATAGTCGCTACGGGCTGGTCTTCCCCTGGGGCAAGAGAGGGAAAGAATGGGGTTCTGAGTTCTATGTTATCCCGCTACCGCGCACTACGCCGTTGCCCTCTCCATTAGAACGTCTGACGGGTCTTGAATTCCCAGAGCAGAGAATGGAAGACTGCCTCGTAGGCGTATGGATTCTGAACCGTGGAAAGTTGCAGCCACCCGCACAACGTCCTTCATTGGGTTCATCGCACGCGAGCTCGTCATACAATGCAGCCGCGCACATGAATGGGACACCTGTCCCAGCCTTCTCACCGCCCAACGGTGCGGGTGGGCATTCGCCGCCCAACAACCCGCCAATCCCGATGAATGTCTCGAGCGTCCTTGCTGCGTTATCGAATGCTACACGGTCGCCTGCGCACACCAGCACGCCAGCCCAGTCCTTCCAGCCAACACCGTCATTTCCGACAGCACCTCCTCAACCGACACCTTCGTATGCGTCGCCGCCTCAAGGGCTCTCATTCGGCACCCCATCTCAACTGAGCGCATTCGTACAGTCGTCTCAGACCACGCCGGCGCACGCCGCGGCTCTCGCTGGGCTGTCGAACCTGAGCGTCGAACAACTGGCCGCGCTACCACTCGAGCATCTTAATACGATCACGCAGCTTCTGCAACTCCAGGCTCTGCAGTCTGGCGGAGCTGTACCAGCATGGCAGCCAGGTGGCGCTGGACTCGGTCAGAGTCATGATCCATTGTACGAACAACAGCAGTTCGACGGCCCGCCTGGACGTGGTGGGTTCCGCGGTGCTCGTGGTGGCTACTCAGGTGACCGCGGTGGGTTTCCCAGTGAGCCAAGAGGCGGCCGGGGTCGCGGACGAGGACGAGGCAGAGGACGCAGTGGGCAGGATGGCGGATGGCGCGGACGAGGAGGACGCGGTGGTGGGCAGTGGGACTGAGGGCAGTGTTTCTGGCCAGCTTTCTACATATATTGCTTGTTGCTTGATCTGTTATTTGCGATTTCGACTGCCCTGAATCAATATGTGCCATCTCCGAGTCCCTCAGCATAATAAGATCATATGACGGTGTATCTGTGATTGAAGAGCGAATTCCCTTGAACGTTTTCATCCTGTGTATGATGTATCTTGTGTATATTCCTTGTCTTGTCATTTAAACGAGGTTTCATCTTGCGTGTTTGTCAGAGTACTGCCAGTGACCGCTTGTTTGTGACTGTCACACGTACAGTAAGTAGATTTGTGTCATCCTTGATTCCATCCAGCGAGAGCCTCCCGTGTATACAATAGCGGCTTATATACTCATGTCTTTTGCAGCCAGTAAGCACAGAATCAGGTCCTCGTGAGGCGAATGCCGCGGGCGGGGTCGGTGGGTGGAGCCCGCGGCGGAGTGTGTCACTGTCACCCTCCTCACCGACACCAAGACCAAGTTCAAGTTGGCCCGGAGGGCGGTGTATGTTTATGTAGCTCGTCATTGAAAGCCTGTAAGTACGCAGTGCCGGAATTCACGGCCTGAGTACTTCCGAGGTCCTCGGAGTTCCACGTGTGTAAGGTTAACGTTGGCCCGTGAAGCGTACGCCGGCTCGTGGCCTCGCCTTTCGTTCAACTTCGATGTCGATATCGGGCGTCTCAGGCTCATGGCCGGCGTTTCACCGATTCAAACCAGCTACGCGATAGAGACACTAGACACGATACTTGGATTGACGAATGACCATGACGCGCCCATCTGCCTTGCCGCGGCATCGCCATAAAACTATATACACGGCTCAATTGAACTTTAGCTGCCCGCCTCAGACAAGCACCATTGGGTACGGGCAACGCTCCCTGGCCGTGCCATGCGGCAAGTCCCGTAAATGAATCCGGGCCGTTGATGCGGCAACGGAATCCTGACAACTCACTTGAAGACCAAGCGAAAGTCTGTGAATCTTCGTTTATCCCTACCCATGTATGAAATCTCGATTTGAATGCTGAATATAATACATACATGTATACGGAGGGATGTATGAGACAGATTATGGATAAAGTGCATACTGAGGGAACGCGGTAATGAGGACCTGCAGGCTTAAACTGTCTGCTACATCCCTCGGGGCCATCAAGTTCTTGAGGTATGTGCACTTGGTTTCCGCGGAGCGGGCGCACAAACGACTAGCGAACAGTTGCAGTGTGTCGCGTCCATCGACGACGCGGAGGTCGCGGGGACCGCGTGTCCTTGCTCGACCGAGCCTCGGGGGACACCCAAAATCTCTGGAAACGCGCGCCAGCGCGGTGGCGCGCTTGGCAAGGCGGCCGGTCCGCTGAGATGAACTCGAGTCGGCGCGCTCGAGGTCGAAATTGATGGCGCCGTAGGTGGCGCGCCGCGCGAAGTCAGGACCCACGACACAGTGGCCTTTGCACTAAGCGGCACAGCTGCGCGCGTACCCCGGCCGTATCGCTGCACTAGTATGCCTAGTTGTCATGTTTGCTAGCGGCGCCAGGAGGTGGCCACCCGGGAACGGGCCGGCGGGACTCGAGAGCCCGCCCAATATTGTGCCGATGGCCTCCCTCCTCCGCGCCAAACGAATCGGCGCGGTGGCTCGAAATTCGGACGGGCGCGCTGCCAAGCCTCGCCGAACGTGGACGAGGCGACGCGCGCCGGAGCAGCGCGCCAAATCATTCGCGCTGGCGCGCGTTTCCAGATATCTCGGTTTTTTTGGATGTTTGCTAACTCAGGGTTTCTCTCGACTTTTGCAACTTCGGCCCCCCGGTCATAGACTACCCGGCCACGCGGTCCGCGCACGCTTGCTTCGCTCGCGTTGCGCGTGAGCGGCTCACGCGCCTCTCTCGTTTCCCCGTTCGCCTTCCTCTTCTTCCTAACTCGCGCTCTACCCTCACCTTCCTGACATTCGCCTGCGTCATGCGGCAGATAAACTGAACGTCGCTCATTCGACTCAAATATCAACTTCTCTGGGAACTCAATGAACCTGTAATTGCATCCTACATCGTCGGAGTCTTCGAGCATCTTGAATCCCTCTACCGTTCGGGCGTTCTCCATTCCAACCTCGGGTAGGCCAATGTCACCGTGACTAAGAACTGTCAAGCTTTCTGACGCCGGCATTTAGCTCAACTTGCAATTCGTGTCACGGAGATGAGGGAGGGTCCAGGGTTAGGATGTAGCGGTCACACCAGATTGGATTGCTCCGGAGGCGATAGAAGTCAAAAGAGCGTTGATCAAGAGTGATGCTCGGGAGTTCCCGAATTGCGTATGACTCTCTAGAGGGCTGCTAGCAGAAGAGATCAGGCAACAGGGCCGAGGGCCGAGGAGCTGTTTGCACGAATAGTGGTCACTCGACATGGTGTGTCCTCTATTCTAGTACACCTGTTTGCGCTCAAAGCTAAGCATACTTACGTTTAGGCTATCCGATCGCAAGAAGGCGGCCCATTCCCCCAACGCGCCCGGTCAAATGTGCATGAAAACGATGGGATCCGGTATGTGGCTGGTCTCCAGGAGTACCACAACGATGAGGACAGGGCCCGCCCGCGCCGTTGAGCCAACCCCAAGCTATCGGACCGAGATTAGGCTCAAAAGGCACGTTGATGTACTTCTAGACTCGCACGTGCCGGTCTCGCGCTGTATGCACCAGACACAATGCCTTTGCGGTAGAATACGTTCGTCGAACCGTCCTTCGGAAAAGAGGGTACCGTTAGTCTATGTGGAGTTACCAGAGCCAGAGGCTGAGATGCTTTGAACCAGTCGTCGCATTTCATATGCCGTGTGCGCATGCAGCACGCCGCAGTGCAGCCTCGTCGCACTCTCGCTGCGCCGTCCCCGCACCAACTCGCGACCTGTGCCCCTAATCTCTCACACGCCCAATCAGCCGGGCGAGGACACATTCTTGACCCGAACTTCGTCTGGAAAAACGTACACCTGCCGAAATCGATGCGCCCGGTAGCAGCCGCACGAGCTTAAGCATGCTGTCTACAGCTGAGAGTGCGAAGCATGCGAGTCTCATTGCGAATATGCCAGATGACAAGGAGAAGGGACGGGAGACTGCGCCCCTGGGCAACTTTATACGGCGGAAGGCTGGCATTATCTTTCGGGACGGCCGGGATGATGCGCGCAACGAACGATCCCAGAGGGTCTCTTCGACGAGCACACGTGCGGAGAGGCCAGTGTGCGGATACAGTTGACGAGCAATGGGTCGGCGCTGGGCGAGGTTGGTACTTCGGAGGACCGCGTGAGGAGAAGCCGAGTTGTGTGCGAGGGAGCATGCGCATATTGCTGAGATATTCTGCCTGGGTACAGGGGTGGCGGGTTTATGGGTGATACGCGGTCGATGAAATTGAGGACGCCGCAGGGCAGGAATGAAGGGCGCCATAGCCTGCATCCATGCCTCGTTCTCTTCCATCCCATGACCTGATGGTGATCCGCACCTCTCGTCTACGCCTCTCATTGTCTCCCGTAATCGCTCCCTGGCAATCATAATCCTCGGTACTTGCGTCAACTGGACCCGCTTTGTCCTGTCCTGTTTTGTTTCCGTTTCTTTCCCTTTCTCGCAATCACCACCTTTCGTCTTCTTATTTCACACAACTATCGCACTTCATCGTCTGCGTGTAACCCTCCGGTGCATGTTACATTTCATCTCTTGGACAGAAGAACTGTGAAGCGTTTGACTCTCTGGTACTGATACAGTTGGTTTTGTCCTCGTTTCTCCATTCTTCGACTCCTCTATCCACTCATCCCATCTCGCTATCGATTGAAAGTGTTCCTACTGCTTCTCGATCGATCTGCGTCTCCTCATCCATGGCATGCAATACCGTGGCTCAATGTCATATGTCGTATAATGGTACCTGGGCTTGGCTCTGATATCACCACCATCCGGCAAGTTACCTACTGTCGAGAGACCCTTTACTTCCTTGAACTATCCGTCGTTTACTAGTGGACACAGCGCAACAATACTCACGTATCCCATCCGTGCGAGAAGCAACGTAATAGAGCTATCACGGTCCCGCTTCCGGCCTGTACACTATTGCGTCTCGTTTAGACATAGGGATGTTTGAGCCCGCCTCGGCCCACCTCCATCAAGTACTTCAAGGTGGCTACCTCGAGATCAAGACGTTGTGGGTAGCTCACTGCATGAATGTCCGGCATTGATACAAGTGAGCCAGCTAGCCTGCATGGGGAGAGTAAGGGGCGACTCGGAGGACGAGCAGTGTGACTTACACCGCCAAAGGATGGGGCAGCATGTCTATCCGGTTGAGGCCATCCTCTAAGGTCTGAAACCATGCAGCTTTCCACGGGCTGGGCAGCATGTGCCTTGTGCACCGCCGGGAACACGCATGATGGAAGAACTCGAGGCATTTGGAGCTATGGGGTGCAGAGCGTGTATGCGCGCCATATCAACACAATAGCCACCAGTATCGTCGACCGGCATTGCAGCCGCGTTATCCTTGACTCTCTATGCCGCCCTGTTCGAGCGCAATGCTACAGCCTGGTGAGGAACGTTGGGGGTGGCAGAGCACCGTGCGCAGCGAAATCCGTTTTGGCGATGGCAATCGAACGCACTCATCTGCTTCGAGCGTTTGACGGAGTCCAAAAGGCAAGTGTAGCTCTATATGGCCTCAGACACCGTATCAGTGCGCAAGGCCGGCCGTTGTATCGTGCTGGAGTCTGCTGTAATGGAAACGCAGCTTGACAGTGTCGCAGCATAGCCTCGCGGGACGCCTCATGTTGCATTCTCACGGCATCGTGCCCGTCGGGGTCATAGCTATCCATTCAATCGAAGACCGCGCACTTTCCTCCACTCTGCCCTAGGTTCAACTACCATCTACAAGGACGCGTGCGACATCATCCGACTCGTCGATTTCGTCAATACTACATGGATGCTGTCAACTACTGGTTCGCTGGAACATCTCTCGACTGGGTTATCATTATCGCGCTCGTCTTGGTGCCGGCGGGTTGTCGGTGGTCGGCGCTTAACGGCGCCTCATGGATTGCAGACACCCTCGTCCTCGCGCCGGGATTGCTTGCGCCGCAGGATGCTTGCGCCGCGAAGAGAGGCGAACTGCCTGTCGCTGGTGCGATGCACAGCGGACTCGTTTCTCGAATAGAAAACCCTGCGATGGTCTCATGGTTGTACCAGATCAGCCGCCCCGGGCATCTCGTTGAAGCGCTGGTGGAGACAGTCGGATCCGAAACCCCATACACGACGCTCACATACGGGACCACTCAAGCCGTCGCCTTCCGACGCATCCGACTCGCCGTGAAGGAATTCCTTCCCCTTTCCTTTATTCCATACGTGACGGGCATCCTTTGCACAATAACCTCCTTTGTCTTTCTCAGCTTCATCGGCGATTATTGGGCCATGGGAGTACTATCGATACTTGTGGTGGCAAAGGGTGTGAATGTGGTCACATCCAGGCGGCGATTCATCCGAGACGGAGGCGGCAGATCCTCGCCACGCGTCTCGGGTGATTTGCTGGTTCTCCTCAACCCAAACCGTTGGGTCAGGTTGCGTGGCGATGAGGATGACTTAGACTTTATCACTTCCAGACAGAGCGTACGCGAACCCACGTATGTGGAGAGTCTGGCGCTGGGAGGAGCCACACTATCGGTGTACGCAGCTGCTATACTTGCCCGAAAATCGACGACGGTTGGAAATCTGGTCATTGCTAGTCTACTTTCCATATCCGCCGCACTTCTCAGGCTATACAACGCAGCGTCGCGTTGTCTCTATATCCTAAACCGCAAGGTTTCACGGCATGGTTCAGCCAAGAGATACGAACGGTTATTAGATCTGGCAGAGGAAATGATCGATATTCACGGTGGTCGAAGGGATTGGGCAATCGAGATGGGCCTTGTCTTATCTCAGCCCGGTAAGGAATTCATTGTTTGGTGGGCACCCAGAGCGTATGCTCATACCTCATTTCAGAGCCATCCGCGCCTCGGCCACCATTCACCCTATTCTCAATGAGTTCGAAAAACACGATACGCAAGCAACGTGAACATAGTGGCCGGTATTGCATCCCTGCCGCCTTGGCAGATCGGCAAATCAAAGACCCGGCTATGCTTTTGGCCATCCTCAACGATATCTTCGGGACACATTACTCTCTTCAAGTTTTCCCGGAGTTGGAAGCCGTTTTGCTCTCTTTCATCGGCGCGTGTTATGACTTCGGGATGATATATGGTCTGCTTCGACCTCGATGGTTCTGTACTTCTGAATTGGGATCTGTCGTGTCTCTTCTGGAACAACTGAAGCACGAGGATACTCGGCGTAGAAAACCTTCTGACCGTGCGCGGAAGACAGGCTTGATCCTAACACCCACGCTTGCACCTCGGCGGGTGTGGGATCTGTACAGTAATCGCATTTTGCCGTCTTGGGCGACCAAACTTGTCTACTCTGATATAATAGCTGTGTCACACGCTTGGTTGTCTCCTTCCGCGCGCTCAGAAACCAGTACAGCTATCAATCACTATGAATGGCCAGTAGCTCTTCCTCGAGAACTCAGTCTGGATGATCTTCGAATCGAGCTTCTGAATCTGGGATGCAAGGAGTCTGGAAATCTCGAGTATGCCTGGCTTGATGTTTTGTGCTTGCGCCAGCAATCTGGAAAGCCTTTGACCTCCGACGAACTTGCCCAAGAGTGGACGATTGATGTCCCGGCAATTGGAGCGATATACCGAAATTGCAAGTCTGTTGTTGTGTACATGAATGGGCTTGGACTTCCTTTTCAGACGAGTGATTTGAGCGATCCTAGCCATTGGTGTAATCGCGTTGAGACACTGCAGACGCTGCGTCTTCGAGACTCGGGGATGCTACTGGGCGGCAGAACTGATGGATCGCCTTCATTTGATTTTAGTTCATTGAATCGTGTTGTCACAAAGGAGCCGTTTGTGCAACAGCTCGGCTTCAGAATCTTGACCGGAGAGGCGAACATGCGCCACATTATTTCAGCCGTGGCTGAGATGAAGAGCCGCTCTGCGCGAGAGGATATAGATAAGATTGCTGGCTTGATCTACCCCTTCTGCGCGACCATACATCCTGCACTCTATCAAGCACCGGAGTTCTTCGAGTCGAGAAGATTCTTCGGGCTCTACGTGGGAGTTGGCGAGCTAGCCGCTCCGATGTTTCACGCCGTCTTCAAGGCCATACGATCAGTAGTTCCTGGTGCTCAAGAGATCTACCACGCAGCGATCATTTCCAGTGTATGGCGGCGGTTCATCTACTGCGTCACAGCTTCCACCCGCGCAGATCTTTTCTACCTCTTCCCCGCCGCGGGTGATGGTCATTTCAAGTGGACGCCTTCTTGGTCCCAGCTCTTTGACAGAGCAGAGTCTCTGATGAAATATGGATCATATGCATTGCAGCTTCCGGATGAATACAGCCCTTTTCTGCTAGACATGAAGCCGCCAGCGCGACATGAGCTTGCAATGTCCAGTAAACCAAGACAATACGGCGATCATGACGAGGAATACTTCTGTCGGGCCGTTCGTGTCCGCGACTGTCGCGTCAGCGGTTTTGCATGTGCTGCGCCGCCCGCTGAAATCCGCCGAGGCACGATTACGTTCTCTGCGAAGAGGCCTGACGGCACGATCGATACTATGATAGTGAACATGGTTGCTCGCCATTCCATCCCCATCCCCAACGGGGCGTACTGTGCGCTCGCCAATCTCGCCAATGGCGCTAATGCTTGTCGTTATTGGGTCGTTGGCTACTTGAATGGCGGTCTCATCGACACCAGACCACGATTCACCAAAATATCTGTTTTAGAGGTTGACAACGATTTCGGGGGCGAGTGGACAAGCATGCGCTTGGGAGAGAATCTCGGGGCTTTGAGATGGGATGCGGCCCATGGCGAGTACAAGGGTCAGAAAACCAGCCGATGGGTCAAATCGGTGAGACTCGCCTAACTATGCTCTGCTCCAAAGACTGGTCAGAACACCTGGAGGATGGTAAGGAAGAGGCATGGAAGAAGAGGGAAGAGGAGCAGGGAAAAGTGTGAGAAACAGTAGATGAGAATGAGGGTCGCGTGTGAGAGTGAAGGTTAGATGGGCGTTAGACCGGAGGAGGGGAGAGCGGGGGGACAAAGCCCGCGAGCGCTGGGGAGAGTGCCGCGTGGGGATATGGGGGGCAAGAGATAGGAGAAATAGGACAGGAGAGACGAGGCAAGATATCTAGCGACCATGGACTAACGGTCCGCGGGAACGTGGAGTTACTGAGAGGGATGAGGGAAACGGGAGGAGATAGATGGCGACTATGGGGAGACAGAGCGCGGGCACACGTTTGGGCCGAGAGGGAGGAGAGTCTAGAGAGAAGCGGAGGCGAACTCGCGTGAGAGTGCTCTTACAACGTTATGATATGCAGGAAATTTTGTGAGAGCGGGATTCTATGGACTTACAAGGGCTTACTACTACGTTGATTGATGGTATCAACGCATGGGCAAGTCCTCCGGGTCAAACATTTTGATGGAAATGGCTGTTGCGATTATTTCTGAGCGGCTTCTGTCGAGTCGTGTCAATCTTTTACAGCCGTTTTCAACGAAGTGCGCAAACGCGAATCGCGTCGACGCGCCTCGGAAGCACGGCCTAGAGCCAACGCGTCCCCGGGCCCCAGGTTCGATCCCGAGTTCCCGACGAACTATTACTTGCATCGTATTCATGCTCAGACAACCTAGCACTTTTGATAGTAGGTTCAATAACCCTTCGAGACAGCACAGTGAATTTTGCGCGCAGACTTGAGTTGCAGTTGAGTGGGAGCGCCGGGAATCGAACCCGCTCCATCGTGGAGGCGCATTGGGAGATCGAGGCGCGATTCGCGATTCCGCACTTCATTGGCTGTAAGCACTGGAGGCACGCCTCACTTCTCCGATCCAGAACATGGTCCAACCATGGGTAGATTATGGACAAAGAAGAACTTGTCCATAGTTTTACCATGTTCTGGATGAAATTCAACGTGTTCCGGGTCAGAAAAGTGACCGATGCCTCAAGTGAAGGGTGCTATTGTATTGCGGCTTGATTGCGGCTTCCTGCGGCTTCCCGCCCTTGCCCCGCCGTCACGGCGTCGAGCTCACAGTTGCTCGCAGTACCGAAACCAACTCCATCGACACGAGTCGCCCTACCTTGGCGATGTGTGAAGATGCTGCGATATGAGCAGGTTATATGAAGGCGCTTCCAAGTGTTTAGTTGGTCCGCGTCACGCCCAGCATCCGGCCACGGCGTGCGCCCCGTTGAGCTCGCCATCCCGGGCGCCTTGGGCGCCGTGGGCTGTGGATAGAATTGTACAAGCGGCGCTCCCAAACTGTTTCATCGCGTTGCCCGAGATAACCGTCCTATCAAGTCTACCACTACACCGCAAGCGAACGGAAAGCCGAAGTTTCACACCCGCTATGGTGCCGTGCCAGCTGTGGACTATGGACGTCCATGCTGTTGCGGCTGCGTTCGCGATCCCTGTGCATGTCATACTTGAGGTCGGCTGTATACTCAGACCTGGCATGAGCCCTGTTGGTCGCAACATATCCTGGCTGTGAACAGCGAGCGACAGAACACTGGTGGAAAATGTCAAGGCCTCATCGATAATCACCGTGTGAAACCTGACAGGTTTCTCCAACATCCCCGCCATTGCCAGTTTTGACAGTCCACGACGAGCCTCGCGCACAGCCCCTCCCGCTTTTTTTCAACGCTATACCCGGGCTATGAAGTCTACAGCCATAGCTCGTTCTGGTGTCGGGCCTCATGTTGGCCCATCTGATCGGTGCGGGTAGCGCAAGCTGGTAAGTACGGTCTTCTCTCAGTTTCATTGTCGCTATTGCTCAGCGGCGGTCGCGCAGTATGAACTCTTATGCGGATCCTCCGAGGGCCGGCAGGGACGGATACGCTGCGTAGGCGGCACAACAACTCTGCCTCGTGTTCGCCTGACGCCTGCCCCCGCGTGCTCTTCGTGCTATTAAGCGTGCTCCCCCATTTCTTTGTTCCCTTCCCTCCCTCCTCGACGTCCTCCATCCATCATCCTATCGCCCATCACGTTGCATGAACATGCCGCTAGAGGAAAGCCCCATCGGGGTCAATGACTGGACCCAAGGCTTGGTGGATTCGCCGTTTCGCCCTCTCGACGATGAGGATGACCAGGAGGATTGGTTGGAAGCGCGTCTGGTGAGTATTCTCGCTTGCTCGTCCCCTTTATGTGGCGAAGGGCTAAGCCAAATATTGTAGACGCGGCAGCAGATGCTTGATCAGTGGTTCGACTCGCCGGTAATCAGCTGGGCATTCTTAGCCGTGCTCACGACCTTCGCTCTCGTCTGGCGTCTTCGCAGTCTCCCTGATCTACCGATGCTGTTCGTGCACGTCGTCCTTATCTTGCTCATCTTACTCATGTCTGATCCGTGTAGTTCCGCGCAACCTGGCACCGAAGCGTACGCGGCAAGTCTTCCAAGCGCGATCAACGACCATCCTCCTGCTGCAACAATGATGTTCGGGCTCGTCCTTGCCCTGCAGAGCAGCGAGGACGGCTCTATGGACGAACTCTTATGCGCTTGGATGCGCGGCGTCGCTGCGTTTCTGGGTAGCCTGAACATAGCCGTTGTATATGCTATCATGCAGAGGAGTGGACATGGCACTCTAGTTTCGGCGTTCTCCGCTATGATCGTTCTGCGAGGTGAGTAGCCATAATGTCCCGTCAAGTACGAAACCTCTGACGTAGCAGTCAGATCGTGCCTACACCCCGAATCTGGACCTAGTCGTCCTCGATGCCGCGCATGTAGAGTTCGTGTCCCTCACGATATACTCATATGTCCGGTTCCGCACTCTTCGCTACCAGTGCGCATCTTCATTCTTCTCTTGAGACCATAGCGTCTGATCTGAGATCCAGCGGCCTGTCTGCCAGATGGTGGGGATGGTTGCTTGCCACAGGCGTTTTCATGATGTGTGCTTGTATATGCAATGCGGACGGGCATTTGACCGTCTTGACCATTGGCGTAGCCGCGTTCATCAACCTCCGTCGTACGCTCATCGATTCCGGCGGTATGTCTGTGAGTTGTTCCCTGTGTCTTTCTAGTTTGCGCTCATTCACTGTTCAGAGGTTATTCGCCGAACATCTCATAGCCCATGCTCTTGGACTCATCATCATTCCGGTCCTTCTTCACGTATTGTTCTGCTACGTCTCCCCGGCCCTCCTTGCGACTGGATCTGGCGAGTTGTTAGGGACTTCGACGTCAGGGCTGACAAGTAATGACGCCCTGATGAGTAGCCGAGGTGATTTGAACATGCTCCTTGTTCAAGATGAAGCCATACTGATATATCAATAGGTTCACCTGGAAGTCTTGCTGAACTGCAAGCTCTGATGCTGTGGGGTCCCCTATTCGGTCGACCCTCATGGACAGCGCCGAGGATACAGCAAAATACTACCGTAGCCTCTGCCGACGCTGCCGGATGTTGGATCTGTATCGTCGCTCCCGCAGCGTACGTTGGGGTCATGGGCGTCGATTTCATCAAGACTTACCGAAGCAAAACCTCGATATCTCTGTGTGAGCTCTTCTTCTGGCACCGTCTTATCTTCTTCCTGATCACCTATCCTCACTGACAGTTGTCCGACAACGCCTGCGGAATACGGCGGGCTTCTTCTTTCTTCATTGCTCGATCAACCACATCCCGTACATCCTCGTCATTCGTCAAGGGCGTGCGGGGCAGTATCATCCATCGCATACGCCCTTCGCACTACTAGCTGGAGCGGTACTTCAATCTTTCCTCTCCCACACAGTCAACACCCCTGTAAGCGTCCTCGCACCGTCCACTCCCCGGCGTAACCAGGATCGATCGTCAATTGGACGCATGGGACCGGCCGTGTTGGTCGGTTTCACGGGTATACTATGGTCTGGTGGGGCTCCGCTCATCGCCGGCCATCGGTTGGCAGTCTGTTCCCTCGCTGTAGCCATGGCTCTCGCGGCAAGCAGTAGCCATGGATTAGAGGACGATAGGGGGAGCTTGGAGAGCTTGGAAGGTAATGCATGAATAGGAATGGCCTCCCTGGACTTGGACAGCGTGATATCTCCAGCCATCTAGATTCATCCCTGTATCATCATATAAGCATCGCTACCCGTTGAGACCTTTATCTCTGTATCATTAGCTAGACTCACTTCAATGCGTCCTCGACGTCGGGCACGGCAAATGATACAGCGTGAGTTGCATGTATAGCGACGCTAGGGTGATGCTGGCAAGCGCCGGTCGCCAGCGAAGGAATGCCAGAAGATTAAATGGACACCACTGCCGTCGGCCAGCATCGTCTAGCGCCAGCTTTTGTCACAGTAAGCAGTACGTGTGGTTTTGGACAGTGCGCCGCGCCCCCACCGCAATCTTGGCCTAGGCGGATTTGGTCGGCGTGTAGATTTTCTCACTTCGAAATCCGGTCTAGCCAGGGGTCCAGGTGGCCGTTGCTTTATCTAGGAAACTCCTGTCATCAACTTCTCATAGCCGTGCCACCCCCAGGTCATCGACTCCTCGCTTCCTCACCTAGTGAGCACATCAGCCGCTGCGTCTCAGAGGCTGATAGCGATCCTCCAAATAACCATTACGTATTTCAGCATCTACCGTAACAGGATGTGGCGGAGGAATGGAGAAGGAACAGCGTCTACGCGGCCAGGGCCGCGCGTTCGGCTGTCGCAGCCACGTGTTTGGCCGCGTGCATCGCAAAGCGCGTCACGCCCACACGCCCGCTCGCCTGGCCTCCTCGTTTGTGCTTCCGATCTGCCACTCCGAAGTTCGCTAGTAGCGCGCAAGGGGGGACTGTTGAATAACTGCCGGCACGGACCCACCCCGTCGTCTGGCATTTGCCGAAGCACGTTGATCGCTTCGGCGTGATGCCCGCGGATGCGCGCGCTGAACGCGTACGAGGGCGAGGGAGTGGTCCTGTCGAGCTGAAGATGCGCGGGCGCGAAGCGCCCGCGCTGGGACACCGAGAGCCGAGTGAAGCGAGGCTCGAGGTGTCGAAGATAGACATCCGTCGCGGCGCGGCGCGAAGCGCCGCGACGTCGACGGGACGGGCAGGGCTTGCTGTACTCAGCTAAACCGTATTGCTTTGACTATGTACATCGGGCTTCCTTTCGATCCATTCTGTGCATCACAACCACTGCTTTATGGCGATCAGTTTGTTTCAAAATTCGGGGTCAATTATACACACCCCGCGCATTTCCAACCCCACCCCGGGCATGCCTAACCACACCATCGCGAGTTCTTTACTCTATAGCCCTCGCATTCCTAACACTACAACCCTCCCGGGAGGCCCGCTTCTCCCGGGCTCCCAGTCCCTCCCTCCTCCCCTCCCTCCCGTCCCGCTGACAGCGCTGTGAAGCGCTCGACTGTAGCTCTCTAACAATACCCATAAAGTGGTAAGAGCGGGAGGGAGAGGGAGGAGGTTGGCCGCGGACGCGGCGGCCTCGAGGCTGGCGCTGCGGGCTCGGCTAACGCGCCCACGTGTTTTGCCGCGTGTGTCGCAGAACGC